GTAAGCAGGGCTGGGTGGGGGGGCAGTGGGGAGAGCGGGGCTGGCCAGGGGGGAACCGGCTGGTGGGGAGCAGGGCTGGCCCGGGCGCACGCAGATCCCGAGGTGCTGCCTGTCCCGTGCACAGTCCCGGTGGGGTGTACAGGTGAGTCTGGCCTCAGAGATTCCATCCTACCCCCCCACCCCCACCCCACTGCATACTGGCTGGCTGGTAGACACATGCAGTGTGAGCATGTTTATCAGCCAGGCAGTAAGCAGCTACGTACTGATACTCATGATGACAATAAAACTTAATTAGAAAATACCAGACATTTATGTCTGGTATTTTCTCAATTTGTTTCCCAGAAAGAAAGCTCAAATACCAGACTGTCTGGTTCAAAACCAGACACCTGGCAACCCTAACTGAGAAGACGACACTCCCCACACTACTCTCACACACAAGAGCCTAGGGGGGCTAACGTAGTAGAGTTTGAATGCTCCAGCCACAAGGTGGGGCTGGAGCATCAGCACGGGCTCCCTAAAGCTAGGGGCAGGGGTGCTCAGACTTAGGGGCCAGATCCAGGCAATCCAGGGGCCATATCTGGCACCCAGGCCTGAGGTTTCCCACCCCTGCTATAGAAAATGCAGAGTATTTGCAAGGGAGGCTATGACACAATTTAAAAATAGGGTGTGAAACTGTTGTTTTGCTTTAAAATATGTTTTCAGTACAATCAAATGTTTCTTAATAACACTTGATTTGATAATGGTCATGAGCCAACAGATGCTGTAGAAGGCACATATTTTAGACACAATACATGTGTTTCCTGAAGGCAACAAGTGAAACCAAAAGTTAATATCTGATCATGATTGAAACACTACTTTAGCATGGCTTCATCGTCCTCCAAGCAGACACTAATGGTATGAGTCACTGCCAGCTGAGGACAACAGACTCCCACTACCTTCAATAGGACTGCACATGAGCCTCAGTCAGGCCATTTTGTTCAGCACTTTGCAGGACTGAACCTTAAAAGTAACCCATAGCATCAATAGTAACTCCTGCAACAAAGTTACCATTCAGATAAAACACACGAAGAAGTCACTCTTTGAGACACTCCAAAGTAATTTATATGTAAATGAATCCTAAAGGGTGCATTAAATATTTCAGGTAACTTTTTGTAATAATTCCTTGTGGCTATGTTGGGACAATTTTCTGTGTATCAGGGTTGTGAGAGACAAAAAATGGAATTCAGGTTCTTCAGCCTGTAAAACCACAGATATCTCCCAGGGTACATTTACACTGCACAGCTATTTCAGGATAACTGAAATAGCTACCCCACATCTACATAAGCCACCCATCATTTTGAAATATTTTTCAAAATAACGGGCATGCTATTCTGGCATCCCAGTAACCCTCGTTCCACAAGGATTAAGGGATGTCTTGAAATAGCATGAAACAAAAGACAGAACAATGTAGTATGTTATTTTGAAATTTGGTGCTGTGTAGACATGTCAAATTTCAAATTAGATGCAAAATATGATACGCAATTTGTGTAGCGCAAATTGCATATTTTATTTCAAGTTTAAGGTGCTGTGGAGATACCACCCCCACATAAGATAAAAGGAGATTCTCCACTAGCTGTCAAGTAGCATAAGGGTTCATAGCCTCTTTGTAGCAAGTCACCAAGGTTCGCCTGTAACAAATACTTATATTATGGCCTGTTTATATGCAGTACAGGACATGGGGATTTTCTGTGCTCCA